ACCATGGCACTGGCACAGTACGCGCCGCCTAGACGGCACAATAGGAACTACGCTGCCTTCCTCACGTTTTGGCCCACCTCCACAAGGCGAAGGGGACGTTTTGGGTGTGAACGCATTTTCGTTGATGTGGGCCACCCAACTGTGTATACAGCTAGAAGCGTCCGTTCGAATAACATGCGCTAACTTATGATATCATTGGCTGGGATGCCTCACTGCTTCTAGGGTGGGGACGCCAGGGATTGCCTGTTGCGGTGGCGATGGGTGGCGATCAAGCCAATGATTTGGCCGAGGCTTTTGAGTGGTAGGCGAGCCTAGGATAACAAAGTTTGTTCGTTGTGCGTACGACATCCCCCGTTTTGAGTATGATGATGAAGTTGAGGATGAGGATGAGGATGATGATGATGATGATGATGATGATGATGATGATGATGATGATGATGATGATGATGATGACGATGATGATGCTGATGATGATGATGATGCTTATGATGATGATGATGATGATGATGATGATGATGATGATGATGATGATGATGATGATGATGATGATGATGATGATGATGATGATGAGCACATTTCTGGAGGCTGGGGGCCGTGCGAGTCTTCTGAGAAGGCCCGCCCATTCCAACCTCCCCCCTGGACTCGAGGCTGGGAGGAGGAATGACCAGAGCAGACCAACGACGCAGAACCGATGCCGCAGTACACCCTCCCATCCCAAATCCCCTCCTCATTCAGAGGAGGCCCCTGCCAAGAGACACCCTGCTTGCCTCCATGGAGCCCTTGGTTTCTTTGGTTCCGATGGTTTTGCGGTGGAAGGCGTGACGTTCCAACGCGAAACATCGATGGACGTCCTGGGGTCTCAGGGTTGGGTTTCTTATGGAAGGTTTCTTGTGGACTGACCTCCATTGTACGTCCCTGCAGGTTTTCTTTTTCACTACCAGAAGCCCCCACCTCGAAAGACCAGCAGAGTTGGGCCTGCCATTATAGGCGGGGGCCCCGGTCTGAAACTGAACTGCCTTGCATCTTGTTGGCGCGACTTCAGAAACGCACAAGACAATTCTCGTGCAGTTTAACAAGGTGCTCAGCGATAACCTTCTCTTTCGAAGAAGGACCGGCCTCATTTGTACTTGTGTTGTCAAAGTCTACACCTGTAGTCATGTGCTTCGAGGAAATCCCAGGCGACAGCTAAATTTTGAAGAAGAGCTGCCGCGGAGCCGTGCACCGCTACGTGTGTTGACGTTTCGGGCATTCAGCGAAGTTTCAGGCGAGATCTCCATTTTGAAACGGAGTAGTCCTCCATCCTGCCAGATGTGGCGTTGAACCACGGAGGCGGGCGGCCTTGAGGCGAGAACCCAAGCGGACAGCGCCCGATCCTTGAAACGGTTGCGAGATTTTGAGGCAAAGGTTCGCGGCGTTATGGCGAGAACCCCACTTTGAAAAGGAACCGCCCTCCATCCGTCAAGTTAGTGCAAACTTTTAAGACGAATGTGCGCGTAGCTAAGGCGAGAGAGTCAGTTGGACCCCACCCCTTCCATCTTTGAAATGCCTGCAAGCTTGACAAGTGTTCGCGGCGTTACGGCGATAGCCACACTTTGAAATCGCACCCCGCCACCCGTGAACCTGCTGCAAATGTGCGCTAAGGCGAAAGCAGCATTCTGAAAAGGTGCTGCTCTCCAGCCTTGAAGAGGTTGCACACTTTTAGGACGAATGTGCGCGGCGCTAAGGCGAAACCCACATTTCGAAAAACGATTCGCCATCAATGCATGAAGTTCGCGCAAACGTTGGAGATGAATGTGCGCTGGTTGCTACTTGCTGAGGCGAGAGCCACGTTTTGAAACAGGAACTGCCCTCCACCCTTGAAGCTGCTGCAATTTTTTTGGACGAGTGTGCACGGCGCCACCCCCTCCACCTGTGAACCTCCACCCGTGAACCCGTTGCAAACTCTCAAGACGAATGCACGCGACGCGAAGGTGAAAACGACATTTTGAAAACCACCCGCCTTCCATCCGTGAAGCTGCTGCATTCTTGATAACGAATGCGCGCAGCGCCCAGGCGAACACCATGTTTCGAAAAGGAACCGCCCTCCATTTGTGAAACTTGCGCTGACCTTGAAGACGAGGGTGGGCCCTCCATCCGTGGAGCTGCTCCAAACTCTGAAGACGAATGTGCGCGACGCCATGGCGAAAGCGGCATGATGAAAACCACCCGCCCTTCATCCTTGAAGTTGCTGCAAGCTCTTGAGAAGAATGCGCGCGGCGCTAAGGCGAGAGCCACGTTTTGACCCCCCCCTCCATCTGTGAAGCTGTTGCTCAATTGTAAGCTCCAGGATCGGAATTTGTGATCAAGTCTCCGACGAAACGCCCAGCCCGCGTCCCGGACGCGTCTCGGGTGCGACAGGAGGAGTTAGTCATGAGGACGGGGGATGGAGGAGGAGGGAGGAGGGAGGAGCAGGAGAGGGGAGGCAGGAGAGGAAGCATAATAGAGGAGGGGGAGGATGAGGAGGATGAGGAGGATGAGGAGGAGGAGGAGGAGGAGGAGGAGGAGGAGGAGGAGGAGGAGGAGGAGGAGGAGGAGGAGGAGGAGGAGGAGGAGGAGGAGGAGGAGCCGCCTCACAGGAGCCGCCTCACATATTCGGGTGGAGCTGCAGTAGTTCGAGCACTTCGTTCCCGTTCCGATTTCTTGGCTCCCACCCTTATCTCTCATTCGCTTGACCTCTTTACCCTTCAGCAGTGTATGCCTCGTCGATTACGTATTCTCTTGAGCTCGGCGGGATTTCGAGGGACATGCAGCCAGCGCCGAGAGACAGGACGTGGGAGCTGTCCCGCAAGCGCAAGGCTCCCCCCCCCCCTACCCCCCTACCCTCGATAATCTGAGAAGCGACTCAAGAGCAGACAGGCGGAGGGCCGCCGCCCGGGTACAAGAGCCGGCTTTCTCGGGGCGCCGAGCGCCTGGGCGCGCCAGGAGGGTTGTGCCTTCACGACGGGCAGGCGGGAAGCTGGACGTTCCCAGCCCTGGCAGCCACCGCGCTGTCCACCACCCGAGGGGCCCGCGGAGCGCGTGCGCGGGCATCGGCACAGAAGGATTAGCGACAAACAAACATAGGTGATTGCCAGCGTGCCCCAGCTATGTGGTGCTGTATGCGTGGTGCAAGCACGAGGCGGCACCTAGGCGGCAACGGGCGGCAACGTGGCGAAACCTCGCCTGACCCACCCAGCGCACGATGCGGTAAGCAGGCTGCAACGGGCGGCAACGTGGCAAAACCTCGCCGGGGGCAGCAAGGCGGCTCGGGGCGGCATCGTGGCGAGACTTTGGCAGAGCCAGCCAATTTCTCAGGAAGACAAGTGAGAACTCCTGAGTGCAAGCGTTGTTTGGAGAACATCTTCTTTTGGAGGTCCGTGCGGAGTTCCGGGGTCGGTGCCGGACCCTCCTCCCCACGCCCCTTTGGCGGCGGGTTGTGGGGAGAGGGGGCTCCAGCGCAGACCAAAGAAATCCGCGCGAACCTTCGAATGTTAATTGAACAGCGAATGCTACAAGAAATTCCAAGTCTGTAAAGACGCGCGACTGTGCCTTGATCTCCAGACTTGGAAACAGTTGCTGTGCCGTGTGGTGGCCTCCGGGCTTGCCTTCCAGAGTGCGATCAAGTGGCCGTGCCATTCCGTGCCGCGCTTGGCCTACAGAATGCGAACAAGCGGCCGTGCCATGCCGCGCCGCGCTGCGCCAAGCCGTGCCGCCCCTGGCTTTCCGAAGGCCAACCAGTTTCTGTGCCATGCGCCGTGCGCCGCGCGGTGGCCCGTGGTCGTGCCCTGCCGTGCTTGGCCTCAGGAAGGCGAGGGAGTGGCCGCGCCGTGCCGCGCCTGGCTTCCCGAGTGAGAAAGAAGGTAGCCGTGCGCCATTCCGTGGCTGGTGTCGAGAATGCGGAGCACGTGTCGTCGCATGCCGTGCCTTGCCTGGCTGCTAGATTAGATCAAAGGGGCCGTGCCGTGCGCCGACGTGGCCGTGCTGTGCCGTGTCGCGCGTGGTTTCCAGACTGCAAGAAGTTGCCGAGCCGTACCGAGGCTGGCGTCGAGAATGTGCCAAAGTTGCCGTGCTGTGCCGTGCCTGATTTTGAGAATGCGAGAAAGTTGCCTTGGCGTGCCGTGCCTTGCCTGTCTTCTAGATGCTGACAAGTGGCCGTGCCGTGCCGTGTCGCGTGCCGTGCCGTGCCGTGCCGTGCTTGGCCTTCAGGATGCGAAAAGTTGCCTTGCCGTGCCGTGCTGTGGAAGGACGATGTGATAGTGTTTCCGTGGAAGCGTTTCCTCAATAGCAACTCTTTGTGGCGCCAGATAGAGCAGGGAGAAGTCATAATGCAAACAAGCATACAGTGATGTGCCGTCCTGGCTCTCAGAATGCGGAATGGTTGTCGTGCCGTGCCGCGTCTGGTTTTCAGAATGCGAAAAAGTTGGCATGCCGTTCCATGTCTGGTTTCATATTCTTCAGCATTCGACACATTGCCGAGCCGTGCCGTGTTGGGCTTTCGGAAGGCCTAGCAGTTACCGTGCTGTGCTGTGCCTGGCTCTCAGACCGCGAAGGAAATTACCTCGCCGTGCAGCGTTGCTGCTTAGGGCCTCCATCTATGCTGGTGTCAGTTGTATGCCACTCTTGGTACTCCGCAAACTTCTGGCAGCCTCCCACACCGTGCTGCCGCCCCTCGGGTACATAGACACGTGCGGCGGGTTCGTGTCTTGTCGACGCGGCGGCGACCCAGACTCGGAGTCGGTCGATGTTGAACTATCTGGCGTTTCGGAAACGGTCGATCGTTCAAGGTCGAGCGATCCCCGGGGTGTCAGAAGCCAGCGCCGAAGTCTGTACGGCACGAGCCCGCCGGGCACAGCCTGAGGCCTCCCTCTCTCTGCCTCGGCGGCCCTCCCGGCTCGAGATCGTGCCCCGAGCCGCGTGGGCACAAAGCGGCCCGCGCCCGCCCCACGGCGGGCCACCGCCTGCGGGCGTGGGGGGCGGGTGGCATGGGCTGCTGCCTGGGGCCTGACCGTGCCGGGGCTCCACCGCCGGCCGCGCCCACGGCCGCAGCGCCGCCACCGCCGAACCCGGGGGCCCCGGCGGGCCCCAGCTCCGACGCCGCCGGCGACCCGGGGCCCGCGGGCGGGGACGGCGACGGCGCGTCCAGCTCGTGGGTCCGCCACCATCCGACCCAGGACGGGACGTCGTCGAGCTTCAGCAGCTCCTCGGCCTGGAGGTCCAGGAACCTGTCCCGGGGCACGGCGTCCCTGGCCAGCGGCTCGCTGGGGGACGGGCTGCGTGGCATGCTGGCGCTCGTGACGGCGTCCACCAGGCTCCAGCCTCGCCCGCAGGAGATCGGGAACACGTGCGGCTTCAGAACAGTCCCGGACCTCGAGACCATCGTCCTCGTTGCGGAGAACGTAGCTCCGTTCTCCCTGCCACAGGAGGTTCTATCTTTCGAGCCTTCCGAGAGCGTCGTCATCTCCCACTTCGCCAACGGCGACGAGGAGAGGAAGATACACTGTAACATCGAGCTGCGGAAGGACGAGGAGGACAAGCTGAACGAGCTGCGCGAGCTCGCCGCGAAGAAGGACGTGGTCGTGTCCCCAGCGATCGCGGTCCAGGCCACGCGGTACATTAGCGCCACTCGCGCCGAAGGCATCGAGGTGGCTTTGGAAAGCATGAGGCTGACGCACCAGTGGCGCCAGTCATATTTTGCCAAAGGGCCCATCGCCGACTCCACGGTAGCCGCAGACCTGCGCGCCGGCACCATCTACTTCGCGGGCCGCGACCAGGCTCTTCGGCCCACGCTTGTCATACGCGTGGCCCGGATACAGGGCTGGCTGAAGGAGAAGGGCGCGGAGAGGCTCATCAGGGTGCTCGTGTTCTGCCAGGAGTATTTCCTGCGCTACATGGTCTGCCCTGGGAGGGTGGAGAGCATCACCGTCCTCCTCGACCTGAAGGGGGTATCGTTCTCCTCGTTGAACCGGCAGGCTTTGGGCGACGTGAACAAGGTTCTTAGTAATCACTACAGGATGCGCGTCTACAGGATTTACATCTGCAATGCGCCTGCGCTGATCAGCACGCTTGCCGGGGCCGTCAAGCGGATGCTGACGGACCGGCAACAGCAGAAGTTGACGTTTGTGACGCACTTCGAAGAGCTCGAACGGGAGTTCGCTCTGCACCAGCTGGAGCAGGACTTCGGGGGCACGAGGCCGAGCCTCGAGGAGTACTTCCCCTTCCCGCTGCTGCCTGGTCCGTTCGAGGCTGGCTCGAGGGCTGGGCCGCGCGCTGATGCCGTGCCGATGGTGCACGAAGCTGTGACGGCGCTCGGCCACCGCGGGCGCCTCTGGAGCACGGACTTGAGCTCGGAGGAGAACACGTCGCTGGAGTACACCGAGAAGGCGGCTGAGATCCTGGCCGCATGTCGCCTGCCCCCCCCTCCCGCATCCGCATTAGTCTCACCCGCAGCAGCTGTGTAGTTTTCCGCAACGGGGTCCTTTTTTGTCCTTTGCGATGCCTGGACCTTCTCCTCCTCCTCCTCCTTCTCCTCCTCCTCCTTCTCCTCCTCCTCCTCCTCCCCTCTTCGGTTCGGCCCTGTTCGGATCTAGATTTGTATCCGATTCCAGTAATGCTTCGATCGGATCTGCTTCCAAATTTGTTCGTTTTCTCCGCCGCCAGTCCATGTCTTCGGAGAGGAGGAGGAGGAGTAAGGAGGAGGAGAAAGGATAATGGCCAGAACGTGGGCAGAAAGCATGATGAGCATGGGGGAACGGGAGGAGAAGGAGTGTAAGGATGATGATGATGATGATGATGATGATGATGATGATGATGATGATGATGATGATGATGATGATGATGATGATGATGATGATGATGATGATGATGATGATGATGATGATGATGATACTGCTGCTGCTGATGTTGATTATGCTGTAGTTGTTGTTGATGCTGATGGTGATGATGAGGATGATGATGATGATGAGGATGAGGATGAGAATGAGGATGATGATGAGGATGAGGATGAGGATGCTGCTGATGATGATGATGATGATGATGATGATGATGCTGATGCTGATGATGATGATGATGATGATGATGATGATGATGAGGAGGAGGAGGAGGAGGAGGAGGAGGAGGAGGAGGAGGAGGAGGAGGAAGAGGAACAGGAACGAAGAGTACCCAGCTGCCTGCAGCAAACCACGCCAACGCGCCCGTGCAACAGCGCAGCAGGAATGAGTCTGAGTGTCGGAGCAGCGCAATTCCGACGAGCGGTCTGAACTGGGGTGGGTGGTGAAGGTCTCGTTCTCGTCTGCGCGGAAGAAAGGAGGCTGAGTTCACGCTCCGCGGCAGTTCAGCTAGTAGTCTGAAATCGACACGGCCGTGATCCCGACCCGTCTTCGTTCGAGCGGTATCGAGGAGAAGGAGGCGGTCCCGCGGTCCCGTCTGCCCTTCGGGCCCCCCTGTTCGTTACTCTGATATCCTTCTCCTCCTCGGGGATGAGGTTTACCACTGCCCCTAGCCCTAATCCCTTTCCCTCGGTCTGGAGGAGGCTGGAGGGCCCCCATGGGCCCAAAACGGCCCAACATCGCTCGTCGTGCTTTGTCCATGTCGCGAGCGTGCTCCCTCCACCTCCCACCCCTCCCGCGACCTCGCCCCCCCCCTGCCCGCCGCGGCAGCAGGCGCAGGCCGGCCCTGACCCGGCCCGCGCGCGTGCCCCTGGGGCAGGCGGCGTGCGCGGGGGGCGCGGTCGCCGGCGCTGCCCACGCCGGCGAGCTGGACGCCGCGGAGAGGGAGGACGCGAGGAGAGAAGCGCATGCTCCGAGCTGTTCGATGCGGGGGGGCGTCAGACGCCTAAAAATGCTCGCGTCGTGGGGAGGTCTTCGGCCGTGTTCGGCTCGATGGGGCCCTCCGTCGGGCCCCTGGGGCCGTCGGGAAACGGTTCGGGAGGCAGCACTGGCGGGGTCGGGACTTCCAGGGATCGATGTTGTGAAACAAGCATGGCGTTGCATGTCTGGGTCTGCCCCGAGCTCTTCGACCCAGAGGTCCCCAGATCTTCGACGACTGCCACGGATGCCCTGGGGCATATTCTTGAGCGCCCAGCATCGGTCAGCAAGTGCCCCAGACAGTGGTATGCGAAGCACATGCAGTAGCGGACAGGTGAGGCCAAACGCATTGCACGCCAAACGCACCGCAAGCCAAACGCAACGCAAACAATTTCATACATCTGCTCTTGACAAGCACGATAGCAGTATAGGCAGCGCAGTCGTCCAGTCCCTGTTCTGGGCTGTTGCGAACTTGCTGCTAATTCTAGACGTGTCGCGTCAGCAGCCCATCCAGAAAAGCTGTCCAGACGATTTGCCCGGATCAGTGATGTGGAGGAGAATGCAGTGGAATAAGAGGCTGGATAAGACGTTCTACGTACCGAAAGAGGGGGAGATGATGGAGGGTGAATCGGAGCAGGAGGCTGAGGAGGAGGAGGGGGAGGGGGAGGGGGAGGGGGAGGGAGGAGAAATGAGGAGGATAAGCAGGCGGATGATGATGTTGTTGTTGATGATGATGATGATGATGAGGCCAAGTATGCTGCTGTTGATGATGATGCTGCTGATGATGATGCTGATTCTGATGATGATGCTGCTGATGATGCTGATGATGACGATCATGATGCTGCTGCTGCTACAGAGGATGATGATGATAATGGGGATGATAATGAAGATGAAGACGAGTCTGAATATGATGATGGTGATGGTGATGGTGATGATGACTCTGATGATGATGATGATGATGATGATGATGATGATGATGATGATACTGATGATGAAGATGATGAAGATGATGGGGATAAGGATGAGGATGAGGATAAGGATGCTGCTGCTGCTGATGATTATGTTGCTACCGCTGATGATGATGACGATTGTGATGACTACGTTGATGTTGATGATGATGATGCTGATAATGCTGATGCTCTTGCTTCTGCTGGTGATGATGATCCTGATGACTCTGATGCTGATGATGCTGATGATTATGCTGATGATTTTGTTGTTGTTATTATCGCTGCCAGTTTTTTTGGTGTTGATGCTGATAACGATGGGTGATGGTGATTACGAAGATGATGCTGATGATGATGACGATGATGGTAATGCTGATGCTGCTGCTGCTGATGATGATTCTGATGATGATGCTGCTTTTGATGATGCTGCTGACGATGATGACAATGATGACGCTGCTGCTGATGATGCGGATGATGCTGATGATGATGCTGATGGTGGTGATGTTGATGATGATGATGATGATGATGATGGTGATGGTGATGGTGATTGTGATGATGATGCTGATGATGATGATGATGATTCTGATGATGATGTTGATGATGATCGTGATGATGATGATGATGATGATGATGATGATGATGATGATGATGATGATGATGATGATGATGATGATGATGATGATGATGATGATGATGATGATGATGATGATGCTGATGATGATGATGATGATGATGATGATGATGATGATGATGATGATGATGATGATGATGATGATGATGATGATGATGATGATGATGATGATGATGATGATGATGACGGTGGTGATGATGCTGATGGTGGGAGCACAGCGTTTATCATAATGGAAGGATGTAAGCTGTAGCTTTCTCGGACCATACCCGCCCGGCGGTACCCGCTGGTGTTGCTCGCGGTTGATGCGTGGAGGACACGCGGCCAGTGCGCGGGCGGTCCACGAGACTGCCCCTGGATTCGAGGCCTACTCAGGGGCCGCTCCCAGCGGCGAGGATGCCGCGCCAGAGGCGGCGGAGGACCCAAACGGGGTCCCCTAGGACGTCATCCCAGACAGCACCCATCTCGGGCCGCCCACAGGGGCGGCAGGTGCCAAATCTATGGTTCGGGCCGCCCTTGCCGCTGGCAGTCACTGCTACGCGATCTGGGCGAGGACATTGCCGGCTTGCACAGAGGCGGCGCAATCGCGTGGCAGGCGATTGTCACCAGACTCGGAGACGGCAGGCACACTAGCAGGCGGGATCGCCTGCGTCGGTTCCCGTCGTTTTGCGAGGTACTCGACCACTTCCTCGACGAACAGTGGGACTACTCATGCGCTGTAGAGGTCGTCGGCTGGACCAGGGCATCATGACGACGTTGCCATCGGGGGCGCTGCAACAGACCAGGCACGTCCTGCTCCGCTCGTGGTTGCTCGAGCTGCCTATAGCCTAGGCCCGCGCCGCCGGCGCGGCAGCGACGTGCGAGGTCCGGGTCGTCGGCGCCAAGTTCGCGCGGTCCAATGCCCCGTCGCCGTTGTCGCCCTGGCGCAGGACGACTTCGGCGACGTCGAGTCCAGGGGGCTGGTCACCGTGGTGCCTGCCGCTTGCTTCCCCTACGACTCTTGTTCGCCCGCCGCCGCGGGCTGCGCGTGTTTCGGCGACGCTGCGGTCGGCCGCGTGCGAGGAGGCGCCCGCAGACGTGGCCTGCGCGAAAGCCTCGCCAGTGTTCCTGGCGCGATTCGCCGAGAGTTGCGCTGAGGACGGGGTGATCAAGTTTTCTCGACTCGGCTGTTGGGGCCGCGCAGCCAGACAACCTTGTCCCGCAACCCGACGACTGGAACAGTCGGGGTCCTGCTCCGACCCGTCGCTTTCCCGGGCCCCGCCCCCAGGGGCAAGCCGGGGCGCGTCGGCGTCCAGCTCTCTGTCGACGGGCAGATCGATGGGGAGAGGTACCTCGCCGCCGACGAGCGCGTTGGCGAGGGCATGGGGGGCGACGAGGTCGACGCAGCCCGCGAGGCTGCCGCGCAGGAGTGGGCAGGTTGGCCGCGTGGCGCCTGCGTGTCGGGCAGCCTGGGCGCGGAGGGAGACGGGGCTCCTGGAGGGCCCGTGGCCCCGCCCGCCAGGCGCGCCCCGGCAACGCGTTATGCTGCCGCTGGCCGCGCCCGCGGACAGGCCCGCGCCGGCCGCCCCTGCCGCGGCAGGCGGCCGCGCGGGGCGCGCGGCGAGGCAGGGGCCTGCAGCGAGCGGCGCCGGGAGGGTCGCGACCCCGCGGCGCGTCGGCGCGTCGCGCGACGATCTGCAGAGCGTCCCCGGGTGCTTTGCGCGCGGCCCGCTGGAGACCAGCGGGGGCCACTTGAAAGAGGCTTCTCGAGCCGAGTCGAGCAAGTGGTGCAGAGCAGTACTGGGGCGCGTGGCCTCGCTTCTGCGCCCCCCCCCCCCCCCCCGCCGCTCCGGGGTCATTCTCTTTCAGGCGGGGCTCTCGGCGAGCGCGCTGGCGCCTGCCCCGTTTGTTACAGGCGGGCCCCCCGTCCAGAGCTCGCCCGCGGCGCCGCCCTGGACGGCGGCTCAGCTCCTTGGGGCGCGGCCTGCCCCCGCGCCTCCCCAGTCTAGGGCGGCGGGGGGGGGGGCGCCAGCGGCGGCGCGGGGGCTGCCCTGGCGCGCCCGCGGGCCCCTTCCGCAAGGGACAGCCGCGCTTCTCCAGAGGGGAGGGCCGGCCTCGACCTCGGGGCCCCAGTCGAGGCAGGCGGCCGCGATGCAGACGAGGCCATCCAGCGCGCGATGCCGCGGGCGCAGGAGAGGGTCGTCGGCGGCTCCGTGGGGGCGAAGGAGGGCGAGCCCGCCCTGGGCGACCTCCTCCTCGGGGGCGCAGCCTCGAGCCCTGGGGGCGCGGGCCCAGTCGTCGGGGCCGACGGCGACAAGGGGGCTTCAGGGCCCCCGGCGCTCAACGGGGCCATCGAGCGCGAGCCGCAGAGGTGGTCTGCCCATGTCAACGTGGACTCCGCGGCCTCCACCGAGCTCGGCTGCGACGCCGCAGGCGTGCCGTGGATCAGATCAGATTCGGGCGCCAAGAGGACCGCGAGCGCCTGGCGCAGCAGTGCTGGCTCCTCGGTGCCCAGATCGGCAAGTTCCCGAAGGTTACTCGCGGCCTCGGTCGCCTACTTGCGGGAGAGAGCGGCGCTCGAGACCGCCCTCGTGGAAGAGGGGCGGGGGCGCTGCCCTGGGCCGCGCCGGCAAGGGCCGCGCCTGAGACAAGAAGTCGAAATCGCGGGCCAACGAGAAGGGATAGGGCGGCGGCGGGGCTGGCGGGGGAGGCGAGCAACCGTTTCCAGATCGGTCCGATAGCTTATACAAACACCGAGGGGGGGCCAGCTCAGGAGTCGGGCCTTCGTCGTTTCACATGCGACTCCGACTTCGCAGGCCGCCGTTGGCTCGGTGATCTGCGGTCTTCTTGCATCTGGCCTGCCGACCTCGTTCCGCGCCTTCCTCGAGGCGGGGGTTTCCAAATTCGCGCCGACGGGGCATCTTGCCCCCTGGCCCTGTCAACTGCTCGCGTTTTCTGGGCTTCCCTGCGAGTGGCGTGGGAGTTGAGCTGCGCGCGGTCGCCGCAAACGAGTGCGCGGTGGTTTCCGGGGAGACGTCGGCGGCGCTGGGTCAACGTGTCCGTCGCTTATTTCTCGTGGCTCTTGCATGGGCGCCCCGCGGGTGGGTCGACGGCGTCCTGTCTCGCCGCGCCCTTGACCGAAAGATAATGGTAGCTGGTGCGCTAGCTTGATGGCGAGTATTCCAGCTGTTGCCGCGTCGAGGAGCCCGTGCCGCTCCCGACTGGCGGCGTCGCCCATCGGGCCGTGGCAGGGCTCGTGGGCGATTCGCACGTGGGGGGCGGCGCGCTTTTTGTGGAGCCTCGCACCCTCGCCGCAGACGATCTTGGCGCCCCATCCAGCGGCGCGACGATCTTGCTCCAGGATCCAGTCGCGCCGCCTGGGCGCGTCTTCATCTTCCGCGCACCCCGCGCATTTGACCT